TATAACTTGGGGACGGATTTCAAGCAGCGTTGTCACGGTTTGCTTTCGGCGGATTCCGCACCATCCGTCGAGGCATTGCAGCCAGTACGTACAGTCCTTCGGTCACTGTAGAATGATCCGGACAACAGCCGAACTACGTCTCCGCACAGGCCACCCCGGCATCCTTCTGGCCCGCGCCAGTCGTCGAACTGAAGAATTCCTCTATAACCTTAATTAATTAGAAATATACGAGTATCACTTACTGTACAAAAGTATTAAGCATCATACTCGTAATACGAATATATATAACAGATAGAACGCAATTGCGGTGACAGTGCAATTTCTGATCGATAAATATGTGTCACAACTAACATATACGTACAGTACTGTAGTACAATTCTATGGTCAGCTTTGGTTAAAAAACACGTTAATTACTACGTACGCGTAACGCTACGAAGTGGATAAAGTAAATGTAGTTATTACATAATTTACATTACAGGATAACACTTTTAATTTAATTCTGCAAAAAGAATAATTCAAAAACAACATGAGACATGTACGTTCCGTAAAGACTTTGATGATTTATTTGACTTTGTGACGATAATTGTCAAGCGCAGAAAGCGAGTTCAAGTTTTCAACTTGTAATACAAAGGCAGTATTTTACAATGAAAACACACTGAAATTAATTTCAAACGAAAATATTTTCGATCTTCAAAGTAAAATGGTAAATTTAAAATTAAATTATTAATTTCTCCCATTCTGGCGTTCTGCATACAGTACCCTACCCTAGTGGTTGCAGGCGCAGCAATAAGACAGTATAAGGCGCGATTCAAGTATTACGTAACGGAATTTTAGACCCTTTTCTACCACCCTACCGTTCGATATAACGCTGGCATAACAAATGTTTTCACCACCCTACCGCTTACGTAATGGCCGGTCTGACCCCCCCCCCGTACCAATAAAAAAATTTTGTTTTTCAAGTTTTCCATTTATATAGCGTACACGGTGGTTAACGATGGTTAACCACCGTGTACGCTAGTCGACCGTGCGACAGGCCCACAGATAGCCTAGCAGCATAATCATACTTTTTGCAGAAAACACGCTGATACTCACAGAACGCTGAAAAACTGAACATAATCTAGAAAGGGCCCGCGCTGAAGCGCTGAGTCTGAGTCTGAGTCTGACCCCTAAAAGGCTGAGTCTGACTACTGAAAGGCTGAGTCTGAGTACTAAAAGGCTGAGTCTGACTATTAAAATGCTGAGTGTTCTTAAGACTGCTAAAGTAATATCTCGATAACTTTTAACTCTTGACCGGAAATATGCACCATATGGTCCAGCGAATCCCCGTATTACATGCAACGCAAGTAATGTACAAGTACAACTGCAACATTTTAATTGGCAACAACCCATTCAGAATGAAATACGGGACGTGCACCGTGCGGTTTTGCGAGTATAACTTGCAGCAACAAGAAGGTTGAAAAGAACAAAAGAATTAACCACAATTATAGCCGCTATTAGACATTTCCGGCCAAAATAAAATCAAATTTATTGCTTTTACAACTATGTAAATACTGTACCAGGTGTACTAAATAATAAGCCGGTAATGTGCGCATGTAACCAGATCTACGTATAATAATACGTTAATATGCACTGACTGTAAACCTGTGCATCAAAGCTCAATAAATCGAATAAAACAGATGCATTATAGCAACAGTGAACAGAGTAATAGAGAATAGAGCAGGTCAGCATTAACTGAAAGTAAAAAGCATGTCGGTGTCGGCTTCTCTCTAAAATAATAATATGAGGTATTTGTCGATGCTCGTTTCGTGCAGGTTTAAAATAATTTAACTAAATACAGCGCTAATTACAGCTATTGTAAATGAAACATAAAACCCATACAGCGTTAATAGCAGCAGCATTATCAACCTACCTATAATAATTATACTACAGTAGCATATTCTTCCGAAGTAGTATTACAATTTCGATAATACACGACATAGGCATACAAAATCACCGATTCGCCTTCGTAGCTGATTAGCTGGAAGTTAATCCGAAATAATTAAGTAAAGAGTGCAATGAGCAGTCCAAATTTTAGAAGTTGTCACAAAACCGTAACGAAGTTATCGTCATGTAAAAACACGAAGTGGCGTTTTCTTGTCTGCTTCGCAGTCAGCGAAAACATTCCGTCGCGGACTCGCTGTGCAAATTACGTATTATTCGTGTACTAAAAATTTGTAATTAACGGTATAGTTAGGGACCATACACAAACTACATATAGAACAAATTTTCGGGAACGTAGTTTATAGATAGTCCCTTACAGTATCTTCCTTTGTGTAACTTGATGCTTGTGCTGTGCTAAACCACCCCCCTAAAATGTGCGAATCAGAATCGTGTAACATTTTGGCTACAGACTCTCCATAGACCGTACGAAAACAAGCCGTAAACTAAATAGTGTACAAAGACTAGTCTTTGTAATTATTCTAGTTTAACCGACTGCCAGCTGGTGTCAGTCCGCTCCGGAAAATTACCCAGATGCAGTTTATTATGACCCACTGTTTATTATGACTCACAGTACCCCTTAAATCCTTTTTGAATCCTTAAATCCTTTTAAATCACAGTACCCCCCCCCCCTTTTTGTAACGGGTCGTATTTTGTCGCACACAGACATAAACTGTACGGATTTGTTCTATTTGTTCAAAGTTTGTCGTATCTAAATCTATCATTTGCAAATTTGCAATAACTTTTATATTTGTCGACATATAAAATTAGAATACCGCATAATTAGAATAAAAGCCTAATCTTCAAGGAGCACTAACTGTTCAGGGTCACAACGTACGGTATAGCCCAAAATGCAATTGCAGGTTGCGCTAATATTTATGGCATCGCTTCATAAGTCATATGGATATAAGCAGCATATAATTAATACATCACCTTTCTAATGTTAATAATAGGAATTTATATGCCAGTGCTTTCCGTAAAGTAGTAATATATTAATCGGTGTAATAATTATACTTTGTAGTTATAACATCGTAACACTGATCCTGCAAAACTGCAACGCACTGTTTTTTGTTTAGCCTTCCTTAGTAATCGCCGTTAATTTAAGCAATTCAGCGCCATGTACGTAGTTTAATTAGTGCAAAGTGGCAAACTGAGGTCATAATGTGGATAGCTTATTTATATGCATTAAATTTATCTTTAAAAGATGCATGAAGTTGAGCGTTATGAAAAGATGCATGAAGTTGAGCAATTATAAAGAGGCGTTGTGCCTCTTTATAATTGAAATACTCAAACAGTACTGAATGCAAAACATATTTTGCATATAGGGGGAATTTAACTGTTGAGGCCAGCACTCCCTGTACTTGATGCCGTCTCCCGCCTGGAGTGTGACGTTACGGGAGTACATACGGTTAAATCAGGCGCGGTACATAAGCACCATGTTTAGCCACAACGTAAAACTTCAGCCGGCTGACGGCAGCAAGTACAGGGAGTGCTGGCCTCAGCAGTTGAGTTCCCCCTATATTTAAAGAGCAGGAATGTAGAAGCCCTTTGCCGACAAATGTTTGTCAGCAGAGATGCGTTTTTGTGGTGTCTGAAAGAAATATGTTCAATTTCAAACAGCTGTTATGGTGCACCAGATGAGGGTGTTACTGCCCAGATGTTATCAGTGGGTATTGCTAAAGTCTGTGACTGTGACTGGGTGGGACTGGGTGGGACTGTGAGTCTATGTGACTGGGACCTTATGTGACTGTGACCGTCTGTGACTGTGCACACTGGGCATGGGAATGATTGGGACTGTGACCTTTTGGGAGTGGGGCTAGTGGTTGTAGCAGTCCGCCAACCAACTGACAGGGCACTTCCGGTCAAATTTTTTAACTGGCTTATAGTGTTAAAAGGCAGTACTTGCAAGCTTATTCTGTAAGGCAGTGCTTCGTACGGCATTCTAGAAATTCCAAGAACGCGTAGTATGGCATTCGTCGAAGAGAATACTTAATTTCCTTATAACATACAGAGTATAATAAAATTCAAAACCAAAATAACAGAAACCATAACTGCTACACCAACCATGACCGCTACTACTAGGTACTGCGCAGGGAAAAACTGCCAGAAAAACAGTGCAGTAACCATTCAGAACTGGTGTTTAGCAATATCGATTCTTATCAACAAATTTCGAAAATACATGTTTTTTAAGATAACGTAACGAAGAAAATTTAAGAGAGGCAAAAAACCAAAACAATACCTGCAACTGGATCAATAACAAAGGAATACTGTGGTAATATCGAACCTTACGGAAATACGAAGGTAACCGTTAATGAAAAATATAAAAAATCGCGAAAATTGCTTGCTTGTGCTTTTCATCCAACTTTTCCTTCGTTTCTGCCGAGATTACGAAAGTTGCAGATTTCAAAGCTGGCGTGTTCACGCTGTTAGTTGCTGCAACAATGCAGCCATTATTAGCATGGCAGTAGACGTTTGACGGCTTTCCCTGTCGTTGAACACCGTTGCGCGGGTATATTCTAGTGCCCACTGACACAAACATCAAATCATTTGGTGAATCAGGTTTAATGTGGGGCTTTTGCGAAAGTTCCTTCGACATCCGCTGCACTTCGTTGTTTGAGAACTGCAATCCTCCAGCAGCCATAATTCATATTCGCCCGGTTGTGGCTTTGGTTTGTCAGCCAAATTACGAACCAATACGAAATCCCAAATCTTTTCCATGGATTTCTTTTTAAACGACTCTCGGTCAACAGGAGGAGCCTCTGAAATGGTACGGGTTACATTAAGTGGGTATAGAGCAGCAAGGTTAGTTATTGTAAAAGCTTTGTTATAACAAATCAGTTATTGAAGTTATGCCTGGAAGCTAGACACAGAAACAATAACGATAAATTTTAGTTAATGGTTGCTAATATTTGGTACGGAATTGTATATCTATCTTGTAAAATAATACGTTGTATTTGTTTCTTGCCACACTATGTAATTACAAATCCCACCTTGCTCTTCCACACCTTCCTCATCAACTGTGGTTAGCTCAACTCTGCGCTTACGGCAAGCAGTAGAGCTAGTGCTTGCAAAGGATGAGTCATCGGCAAGCGGTTGACTTGACAGTAGGCTGACTGGTGGTGGCCTTCGGAGCTTCGCACCTTTGCGAATACCGGTGCCATGGAGTTTTTTTCCTGCGTCAGCTGGGGCACTGAGGTCAATCGCACGATGTAAGCCGAACCGATTTCCAAATCGCACATCGTTCGAATTCGCCCAGGTAACTAACGTGTCTAAGGATTGCGTATGAATGGCCACAGCAAATATATCTGGGCAAATACCAAATGTTACATAGTGGCTGCAGGTTTTGTCGCACTCGATTCGGTTCAGATTTCCGTCCAGCGTCACTGTTAACAACTGCCCGGGTTTATGACCGCACACCAGAAATCGGCTTCCATTGCTGCCAGGTGCTAGGACTATGGGATTTGGTTTTTGCAGTAACACATCGGCTTTTTCAAGCATAGATGCCAAAAGGTCACGACTAAACGTTTTGATCTGACCGACTGCTTCGCCGTGCGGATGGCTGCAAGATTAGTAGTTAATATGTTATTTATTAATAAGCAGATTTAGTTACGAGTGGTAATAATATAATAGTATAATAGTCGTTTACTGATGTGGTTATAATAAGTAGCGGTTTAGTTGTAGTACAGTAGGTGCTGGCCGCGGGCACGGGAATTCCGCACGGGATTTGGCTTCGTGCACGGGTAAATTATTTAAATTTCTAAATTTAAATCTTGTAGTTTACTTTAAATTTTTTGTAGATAATTAAAATGAAATCTTACTCACTTAACCCATAACTTTTCAAGGAAAATACAGTAAAGTCACCTGAGCCACGTGGGAATTTCTGTAATATACTCATGGCTAGCGCGTTCGGTTTCGGGATGGACCTGGAACTTCTGAGCAAGGTCTGATGCAAACGCACTTGATGGCCGGTGGGAAACTATAAACGTTACGATCAAAAGGCGAAAATCATAAAAAAATTAAGAAAGCCGTGCCCACCGTCTACACCCGTGCGGACCGAAAAAGGTCACCCGTGTCCGAACTCAGAGCACGTACCTAAACCCCGTGCAAACACCCGTGCACGCAGCCAACGCCCGTGTTTCCCGTGCACGCAGCATCGACCAAATAATTAAGCACCATACACCACTACGATTACAGAAGCGAAATAATGTAACAAGATCGTGTTTATCACTGACCATGTCAAGCGATCTGGCGTTTCGTCTCCGTTATCCGGTTGGCTGTTAGCCTTCTCGATGCTGAATGGTTCACGGTGAATACCCTTCTTAAAAGCCCGTTTTTGAAATTCGGATGTTGGGAGTAATTCTTTGAAGTCCGCTTCCAAGTGCTTGTACGCAGGAATTATTTCGTACAAACCGGATTTAATTGTGGCATATTCGAACTCTTGGAGATCTTTTTTCGCAAAGATTTCCATATCTTTTACAAAACGATTAATGCCCCTCAAGCTGTTAAACCCTTTCTTAATTCTTTTATTTGCACTTTCAACGGCGTTCTGGTTGTAATATCCGGCGCCGACATTTGCCGCTTTACGTGCTTCAGCCTGGCAAGTAAAACATGCAGCTTTATTATTATTAATAATATAGCTTAATAAAAATGATATGCTATAAAAACGGAAATGGTAAGCAGTATTTTTGCGGTTAAAAAGTATGAGTAAACAAGCAGTGCAAAACGAATTAATATTAAATACTATTTTACGAGTGAAGTAGTTAGCGAACGCTTGATTGAGTAGTTCGTCGTCTTACCGAATAATGTTCCTGAAACAAGGGTGCTTTGCTTTTGAAAAAGTATTCTGCCAGCTTGGGCCCGTTAGCATGCATTGCTCCCAACGTTAAGCGCAGCTGCTCTCCAGCTTTTTCGTAATCTTCCGGTGTTTCGCAGTCGATATACCCCGGTACTCTTTGGTCTCCGACAACACGCCCAAAAACAAGCGCGAGCACCTGGTCCTTGACATTCGACATTTTAAAGTCTTCCGCTTTTCGACTGATGTTGTCAATTGCGTGGATGATACAAAGAATATGTGGTACAGTTGGAAAAATTGTCTGGAATGCGCCATAAAGTGCCTGCAAAAATTTGCTCAAATGTTATATAATTACAAGGTAGCCTCCTGCTTTCGGCTGTACAATGCTTATATATTTGGTAAGTAATCGTACTGAATGTCGGGGATGAAATTACAGTAGTTTACTACGACCACTGGCAACTTCCACTCTAATCTATTTCTTAATTTTTCATTGGGAATACATGTACTACGTCTAATACTTACATATATGCAACCCACGCTCAATGTAAGCACATGTAAAAATATATGCACTTGTAAATAATATACTGCAAGCATAAAAACCTTCTAGTTAAACATTCGCTTACTTTATCGCCGTCGGTTCCAAGAAACTTTGCCTTGGTAAGCTGGGGCCTGACATTTAAAAGCATAGCGGCCATCCGCTGATACGCTTCTCCCGTCTTTCTCTTGTGGATAAAGGTGACGCCAATTATGACAGGACTGACCCGAGTTGTACGGTTGCGCAACATCAGGTGGCGCGTTACGACGGTGGTAACGTAGTATTCGCCCACATTAAATGTAGTATCCACAGACATTCCTGCAGCTGGTGCAAACCGCACTAGGTCGTCTAGCTGCGTGTCTAGAGCCAGCATCACAATGAGATCCGGTGCAATAACCACTTCGCGTACGAACGCGGAACTTTTGCCGTGATTATCCATACAGGCCAGAATAACTGCGTTTAACTCCTCGTCTTTGGTCGGTTTTTTGGCTGCTTTGAAGTTGTAAATCGATTTGTGAGACGGAATTTGGGCAGTCGAAGCTAGATTCTCAATTGGACCGACTTCCTCCAAAATGTCAGCGCGAATAGTCGAAGCGTCTTTTCCACTTTCTAATTAAATATAGAAAATCTTTTGATGTTGCCTAACATTTTCGAAATTCTGTAGTCATAGCTAATATATCAAATTTAAATAATATAATAACGTTAGTGTACAATAAAGTTAAACAATTTGCTTACCACAACCCTTTTTAATCTTTTCTTTCGTGGATTCATACATTCGTTCATAAGGTTTTCCGGTCCGCTCTTTTCCGTGGCTGGTAATGGCGAACGATTTGTCTTCTTTATCGGAAAAGTAATATTGTAGGACAGCAAATCCCAGCTCGCGGCAAAACACAATCACGCGTTTGAAGGTCGGTTCACTGAAGTTTGTATAGGTATAACGGCGAAACTCCGTTCCCTCCGCTTCATTCTAAATATAATGTTTTAAGCATTACGGCTAGGTTCACGGATGACCTTTTGAAATCCGCATGGGACAGAGGGATGGTTTACGATGAAGCGTTATAATTTTTTGGTGAAGTCTGCTCATGCCACCTTTGGCTGCTAGTACCACCTTTTGCACACCCCTTTTAACTTTTAGGCTTGCAAAAATAATTATTCTGCCTAAAGTATTCTAGGAAACGTAGCGCACTGCCTGTTCATGTTTTTTTTTACTAACCGATGTATATACATCCGATCCGCTCCATCGGTAGAAATGAATGGTCTTCCCATTGCTTTGCTCCCATCGACCGTTGCTGTCCGATAACACATCTCCCGGACTTGCCAAACACGACAGTTTGATAACAAAAAGTGATGTCCGCTGCACTTGATGTGGGACTCTGGTGGCCACTTTTACACCACGTTTCTGTTTCTTCGCTTTAAAAATCAGTTCGGCTGCGTAAAGGTTCGTAATGAACGAGAGGTGCTTGGTGCTGATTACGGGAATTCCGTCAATCTCCTTGGTATCGCTGTCATCCACCACAGATATCTCTGCATCCTCCAAGCAGACAACGTCACCTTCGTCGCTACAAACGATAAAAATTAAAATCTAACAGGGCGGGTAGTGCGGTACCGTGGGCTACTTCCGGCCACACAGGACAGTCCCAGGCGGGTGGTGCGATACCGAGGACCACTTCCGGCCACACAGGACAGTCCCGGGCGGGTGGTGCGGTACCGAGGACCACTTCCGGCCACACAGGACAGTCCCGGGCGGGTGGTGCGATACCGAGGACCACTTCCGGCCACAGGACAGTCCGGGCGGGTGGTGCGGTACCGAGGACCACTTCCGGCCACACAGGACAGTCCCGGGCGGGTGGTGCGATACCGAGGACCACTTCCGGCCACACAGGACAGTCCCGGGCGGGTGGTGCGGTACCGAGGACCACTTCCGGCCACACAGGACAGTCCCGGGCGGGTGATACCGAGGACCACTTCCGGCCACAGGACAGTCCGGGCGGGTGGTGCGGTACCGAGGACCACTTCCGGCCACACAGGACAGTCCCGGGCGGGTGGTGCGGTACCGCGGACCACTTCCGGCCACACAGGACAGCCGGGTGGTGGTACCGCGGACAATTCCGGCCACAGAACAGTCCCAGGCGGGTGGTGCGATACCGCGGACCACTTCCGGCCACGGGACAGTCCCATGCGGTACCGCGGACCAATTCCGGCCACACAGAACAGTACCATTTTATACTATAGCAGGCAGCGAATCTTTCGTAATGCGGCACCGCGCATTGCTTCCGCCACCCACACTGCGTAGTTTGATAAAAATGCACTAGTGTGGGAGTGTCTAAAATGAATTACAACGCGTGTACTTGAATGCAGTACCTGCATGAACCGTCATGATCCTCTTCGGATTCAATGGTGGTGACTGTAATGTCGCGGTTTTCTGGATCTGTTAGATCCCTGAAAACAGAGCCAAAAATATTAATATAACGATATTTTAATGATCTTTAAACTTCCTTTGATAGCGGAAAACGGTACAATTGCTATGTAATTTAGTAAAATATTATTGCATTGCGTAAACCACAAAAAACTGAAAATGTTAATAAATTATTATTAATACAACTTATACAAGAACACAGACGCAAGTGAAAAATGGTACTTACGTTGGCGGTGGACTTTCATGGACGCTGTCGTCCGTTTCATAAGTTTCGGGTCGCATGTTGCATCACTGCACTGTTGTAAATAGTGACTTCCGCATTCGGATGCGCAGTACAGTATCAGTGATTCACTTACTGTTCATTAGGATTACAGCAGATATTTTTTAACTGAATAGTGCAGGAAAAGCGAAGCGTTGCCGCGTACGGGTTTAGTAGTGGTTTTACTTTCCGAAAACGTTAGTGTGATAGAATCATTTCACATACACGAAAGACAAAGAAAAGAAGCCGAAAACAAGTGCGCTGTTTGGCTTCCGATGTTTCCTTCAGCCGGTCTTCTCTGGAGTCGCCTGCATAGTTCCAATCCTTCTCTCACAGAGCAAACGAGAGGGTCAAGACCAGATCACACCTACGTGCGACAGCCTAGGAATTTGAAAGGCTTTTGTTTGTTGATGTTTGCCGCTTACGAATAATGCCGCTCCGTGCCCTAAAGTAGCAGGCACTAGGCAGACACACAAGAACGCAGCAGAGGGATACCACATACTCAGTCGTCGATCACGCTGGACGCTACACAAAGTTTTCCCGAATAGGCTAAAATAATGTGTAGTGATACACACTTTTTATAGTGATACATGTATAGCGTGTATTTTAGTTGACCAAGTGTGCAAAATAAAAGAACTTCAAAACCATTTAAAAAAAGTGAAGGAGGGTATGCTGAAGATAAAAAAAAGCATGATTAATGTTACTTTCGACTATTTTTCTTGAATTTCTAGAATGCCGTACGAAGCACTGCCTTACCGAATAAGCTTGCAAGTACTGCCTTTTAACACACAATAAGCCAGTTAAAATTTGACCGGAAGTGCCCTGTTGGTTGGCGGACTGCTACAACCACTAGCCCCACTCCCAAAGGTCACAGTCCCAATCATTCCCATGCCCAGTGTGGCACAGTCACAGACGGTCACAGTCACATAAGGTCCCAGTCACATAGACTCACAGTCCCACCCAGTCCCACCCAGTCACAGTCACAGACTTTAGCAATACCCGTTATCAGTCGGCGCGAAAGTGATTTGAATGAAACGACATGGTCATGCACACACGTGTGTCACATGCCGTGTTTCATGAGCCACTCACCCGAAACACACAGATTTGTAGTTTCACGTAAACAGTGTTTTTAAACAATTAGAAATAATTATAAAAATGTACGCATACGTTTATTCATTTTAGTTTACGTCATAATATTAAGGATTCAAAGCGCGGAAGTAATTCAAAAGTTTACGGAGTGGTCACCTTGAGGGAAGTGGTGTCACCGGTATAAGTCCGGTACATGATAGGGGCAAAAATAATTACCAGTTAGCTAATTAATTCTTTAGTATCAGCATTTGTCTAATTAACTGTGGAACGGTGTATCTAATAAATTAAAATAAGCCGTGAGCTTAGTAAATACTCGTATGATGGATTTAACTGGGACCGGTAACTTTTCACGGTAATAACTCACAATAATTTGAAGATGTATCGATTGCATTTAAGGCCATGGCTAGTTTGGCTTTATTCAGATGAAGAAGGTCGGTTTTTTAAGTTTTTTGAAATCATATTTTCTTTCTTGATACTTCGTTATATCCAATTTAAATTGAGAAAAATTCACAACTTTAAACCGGAAAGATTGGCTTTAAAAATGTGAATTGAATAAATCACGCTCAAAAATTAACTAGTCTCCAGGCAACCATACAGAATTTTAGATAGACCACCCAGAAAATCGTAAACATAGTCCTCCTGCACCTTGCGAGGGCTTTTTTTGAAAAAAAAATTTTTAAACTTCACAAACTTAAAAAAACACATTTAGGGTTTCGATTTTCGTAAATAACCTGAGTTAAAACAATTTTTTTCAAAATCGCTCTCGCAATTATACTTTTAAGGTATTTCTACACCCTGTGCATTAAGTTTCAAAATCATGTTAGATCGCCTGAATTAGGAGTTAGTTTTCAAACTTTACCTGGTGCATTTTGAACGGTAGCCTTCGAAAGTTCATGCAAGTTTACATCACTCGTGGGCATGTTGACTGTTTCAGCCCACCACACATATCAAACCATAGTGACTATCCAGACAGCCCTTGCCCGCTTCTTACCACACTTGAGTGTGATGAAAATCTATTGTCTTTCGGTGTTTGCTTTGATTCCGCTGACCAGTGCTCTGTTTTATGGCTGGCAGTAGAACAAAAGATGCGTATCCCGATTCTGTGCTCTCCATTGATTTCATCGCAGGTGCGCTAACTTGCATATCCGTTCGTAATGGTGAGCCGGGCCAGTCACTGGTAGCATCGTTACTCAGTTTAGGCAGCTAACTTAAAAAATTTATATTTCAAAACCCTGGAATTTTATCACTTCAATGTTTTTACCATCGGATAGAGCAGTCTTCAATCTGTAAAGCGCCTTTCTTTTGCAAAATGGCCTATTAGGAATAAAGCCGAGCTAGCCATGGCCTTAAAGCTCAACGATTAAACGGTAAAGAGCAGTAATCTTTTCATTTTTTTGCGCTCGAATAGCCCACTCGATGGAAATATGCGATGCATCAATGGCATGCAACATCTGGTTTTTCACGACGTTCAAACTTCAGTTTTTTCTGCTCTGCATGATTCAGCACATCAAAAGCGCATTTCAAATACGTACTCTAGGTTATTTTTTCTAACGATATTCATAGCACACTAAGTGCACGGGTAATTACTCGTACTTTTACTCGACGAATCTATAAAGTATAAATAAAAGGATAAGCCTTAACAAAATTCCGTGTATGTCATCGATGCATTAACGCTGCACTCATCCAGACTCCAATGTCTATATGTCGTTCGATAGCCTTTAACGTACAGATTTGCCAATAAAAGTCAAATTTAAGGAAAAAACAAAAGTTTGAAAGAAAACTTGCAAAAACTTTGACATGGAAAGCCTATGGGAACAGCTAAAATCCATCACTGCAAACCGACCACCCCACCACTGTCTCGACGGCCAAAAACGAATTGACCGACTTACAAGTTAGAGTCGGGAAAACTTTGTTCTTCTGGAATCATGACCACGTGTTATTCCGTGGTCTTGAACGAATTTTACAAATTTTGTAATCAGTATTTGGTATCAGGAACAGGTGATTGAGCAAGAACACATAAAGAAGGTCTTCAAGCATGAAAACTGCTTAAAAACTGTTTCCCAAGGAGCTGTCATTCGCAGTGGTTTGACCCGCTTAAAGTTGTCACGCTTCCACGGGTGGTTGCCATTTGTACTGAATTGCTGTTAAAGTTAAAAATTTACAGAATTGCGATACTTTTAATTTTTTTTTCTGTGGAAAATTATGTTCCAGAAAGGCGGAATTACGTGTTTGGGGCTGATTTAAGGGGCAGCAAGCTGACATCTGCACATTTGAGCGACTGCTTGGCAGTCATTAGCCGAGAATTGCAGCTAAGGGATTTGGCCCGGTACGTAGTACTAAATTCGTGTACATTGCCGCGGAGTAGAAGTATAGATATTTGCTTCCGCGCACTTTTTGTGTTGCTTTTTGACACTGTGTAGCCGAATGATTTGTGTAGATTGGCGTGGAATCCGTTTTCGCGCGCAAAATTCGGTTATGAAGAGGAGTGACAAAATTCCAAAAGGTTCCTTTTCAAATTTTGCACGTAAATGCACATAACGACGAAGATCGTCTTGCCCCCGAACCATCTTTTATTAAAAACTTTTAATTCATTTTAAAATAGGAAAACAATGCCAACGCTGGGGGTCTGTGAGTGTAAAACCATATTCACGCATATGTGCGTTTACATGCTGTATTCGAAGATCGGTTGATAACGAGACTTTTGGTACACCTGAATGCATTTAAACTTTTGAAATTTTCATACAGCCATAACTCCCGAACCAGATGTTACGTACTGAACGGTTTCTACAATGTATACAAATCATCTGGCTGCAGTATGTCATAAAACAAAGCAAAAAAGGGTTTGCGAGTGCGCGAAAGCCGAATTTGGTGTTATGTACGGGGCCGAATCCCTTAAGCAAGGTAGCTACATGCTTACCAGCGACTACTGACTACTTCCGTTAGTTTGTCACATAAGGCAAAACCGCAGTCAACGCCGAGATGCATCGTGAGAAGCAGCAAACATGCAAGAAATTTTCCGTACAAGTCCTCAATTTTAGAAAGAGCTAACAGCGGAGAAGGAAATACAACAAAATGCTTCTGTCCTTATTTAAATAAAGTGTTTTAACTTTGTCCTGTGGTGAAAGTAATAGGAAAAAAGGTGGTGACTATTACTGTTTTAATTTATCACTTATTAGTGTACTGATTGTTGAAGGGCAGCAGCAGTGGTGTATTAGTGGTCAAACTGGGATGTAAAGTACTTAAATAATTTGCTATCGGATACGTTGAAAAAGCTCAGAATAGTAAGAAAAAGAGGGAACAACAAGTTTTAATAAATTACAGGGTCGGTCCTTATGTAGCAGCTGCACGAAATTTAGCTGATGGTGACTGATCTGGAAATAAATAGTTCGGAAAGAAAAAATTTACCCGTTTTGGGAGAAAAATAGCTTTAAATTAATTTCACATTTCAGGTTTTAGGCCATTCTGCAGTCAATTAAACGGTCAGGCAAATTTTCCAGTAGTTATCATAAAGTGACATCAACTGTGCAGTGTGCAAGGACATTATTTTGATTTTGAATTATATAGAATTCTACGCTTCGTTCATAAAACCAGCCGTTATGAGTTTACATACGATATATCTTTACATACCTGCAGTTATGAGTTTTATTTTTGCGCTAAGATGGGATTTGTCCATTGCTGATTGCATTATTTACTCCGCGCAATTTGCGCGGGGTCTGCTAGTATGTTTATATAGCTGTAACGCTTATTGCAGTTGCATTACGTACTTCTTCTACTTTTGTTTTAAAACGTACAGACCATCAAGTGCAACTACACAACTTTAAAATTTTTTAGCGCATTTTCCTCTTGTTTTGGACTATCAGAAATCTAATGCCTTTTTGGCCGCGAAAATTCCCTTCCTTTTTTTACCATCGAAATTGATCTTTCCTCTTTTTGACCAAAAAACATTCCTTCCTTTATTTATTCCTTCCTTTTTTTGACCTTGGTCAGTGGTTCGAGACTCAGACGTGAAGTTCTCAGCAGTTCAAATGTTATAGATGGTATTCACAGTCATAATTAAAATAGATTGAGTTTTATTTTGGCCGGAAATGTCGAATAGCGGCTATATTACAGTTAATTCTTTCTTTTCAACATTCGTGTTGCTGCAGTTACACTAGTACAAACGTCCCGTATTTGACTGAATGGGTTGTCGCCAATTAAAATGTTGTAGTTGCACTTGTACATTCCTTGCGTTGCATGTAATACGGGGATTCGCTGGACCATATGGGGCATATTTCCGGTCAAGAGTTAAAAGTTATCGAGATATTACTTTAGCAGTCTTAGGAACACTCAGCATTTTAATAGTCAGACTCAGCCTTTTAGTGCTCAGACTCAGCCTTTCAGTAGTCAGACTCAGCCTTTTAGGGGTCAGACTCAGACTCAGACTCAGCGCTTCAGCGCGGGCCTCTAGAAAGAAGTAAGAACCAAACACAATTTTTTTATTTTCTTGGATAAATCCGATTCCTATTTCTTTCTGTGTTAAACGCTGGGGAGTATTTAGATGTCACGTAACAGAAGCGGTTGACCCCCCCACCCCATGTAACAAATGCATAACGGATCGCATAACTACCCCCCCTACCGGGTCAGTGTTACGTAATACTTGAATCGCGCCTAAGTCTACATGTACTTGTACATGTGTTTGATGTCACGCACGCTTCAATTTTCGCTACCATTTAATGCGCAATGCGCACTACAAAATATTTACATTAATTATTACTGAGAAGACAAGAAAATAATAACTGTTAATTAAGTCATATACTACTTGGAGCATATTCAGGAAACTGTGCAACATTCCCGTACGCTATTACTTAACTACCGATAATCAAGATAAAATTGCACTGCTTTTTGCTACAAGTACGCTGACCTTTATCACAGGGCTCGGTGTCGCAGTTCTCGGAGTCGGTCGGCTTCTCCTCTTTATCGCAGCTGGACGATTCCACCACACTGTCGTTCTTCAGGCAGCTAACGTACCGCCGCTTCGAACGTCCGCCGCAATTTTGCGTGCACTAAGTAGAACGCCATAAAATCGGCCGGATAAATAAACACTAGCCTCATAAAGTTAACTAAATAAACATCACATTTGCTAATTAGCATACTGTATATATATTAAACAAAAACATTAGGAGAAAATTAATGAAAATCAACGCAGACTACTGTTGCGTCTAGCTTTATAGCAGTTCGCATCTGTACACTGTTGACAGTGCGTCACTGTGCGTGAGTAAGTGAAGACCAACGGGTACTACAAACCGGCATCCAGGGCCCCGCCGAACCACTGGCTATCGCAGGGAAACTCGATCTTCTTGCAGTTCTACTGCTCCTCCAGTTTCTTCCCAGCATCACACAGATCCGTCACCGCGCGGACCACATCCGATGCATACGATTGTCCATAGTCCAGCCGAAAAGTTTCTGACTCGTGGTCATAAACGTTAACGGTGCGTGTTGTTCCGCTAATTTGCCACACACTCACACACACGACAGGTGTGCTGTTCGTTAATTTTCTGTTAAAACAAAATCCGATCCGCAAACACTTCAACAAAACTTGCATTACCCAATATGGTCAACAGCAACTGACACTATTAAAGGCAGATGACTATTCCGAAAACTTTTCCCAGTTCCCTAATTATGATCTATTCAGTATTTACCGAGAAGTATTCGTATTATACTGTACATGTACGGGTGAATAATAACCTGTTAATTCGAATGATAATCAGAATTTAGAAAATATTCACTGTAAAATAAGTATGTGATACTTGTCGGTTTTGGGTATTTATTTTTAAGGAATCCGTAGTTTTACGTTTTCCAGTCTCACCGACGCTTTCCCGGTTCACTATAATTAACGCTCTTTGCGCGGAATATCTATAGTCTCGAAGCGATGGAAATGTTCGGATTGCAGTTATTATAAGTTACCCGACTGTTTGGTTTTCTTAGGTTTCCATTTTTCCGTGTTAGGGTAGACTGGGTACGAGTAGTCAAGATAAGTTACTGTATAGCACTGTAATATCTAGTATCGACAGGCCTTCCGGGTTTGTGACAAGCAGAAGAAGAGCAACGGAAACGCGACAAAAAATAAGGCAAATCTGTAACAATAGTGTAGAACAGTGGCTTCAAGCAGACCGTGACGTACCGCGGAATCCGATGGGAAAGCCGGTAGCTCCGCCTGGAACAGGCCGAATTTTGCCGGTCAGATTTGCCGCAGACGCTGTACTGTCAGGCTGTCAGCACAACAGCAGCCAGAATCCAGTCGGCAGCGAGTTTGTTTTTGTAGTTTATCACATTTATTTCCTTACCCGAACTGTTTTCGTGAAAAATTGCTTACTACCTTACATGTTAGACAGTTGTAATGCCATGTACAACAAATTACCTGCCGAAGTTTGAATCAGTTATTACAGTGTCGCTACGAGTTAGTGCACTGGTGATTAAGCCTAGTATTTCTTTTCTGAAAACATGCGCTGGGAATGCAGTGCTCCAGTCCCATCTGAACTGACCAGTTATAAAATGACAGTCTGCTATCCACACAACGGATATATATATATTGGGTGTCCGCCACCCGGGTTTCCGCGACAGCTCTCATCTCGGAGAACAAATCGTAACAAACCCGGGTGGCCGACACCCTTAACTAGACAACTTGTCCATCCTTCAAAAGTAAAATATAGAATCTACATAGTACTGCCGGGTCCCGGTTTTAGAGGGGCGGTAGTAGGATGCCTCTAAACTACCACAACCAATCGTGGCGTTACTGGTTTGAATTTGTAATTTAAAGGCTGATTAATCTGCAAGGCATCTGTAAGTTTTTTGTTATTTGTAGTATGATGAATCCATCTTCTTTGTCCCTCATCCAGAATCCCTTAGAGCAAGCCCACAAAGGCATCGGTCGAGTCCTATTAGTACTGTTCAGGGGCCCTAATTGCATGGTTTCGGCCATCGCAGTCAGGCAATCGAGATTTGTAGAGCACAGTCAAACAGTAGCACTGTTTGACTGTGCTCTACAAATCTCGATTGCCTGACTGCGATGGCCGAAACCATGCAATTAGGGTAATTCGGATTGGGCGTCGTTAATTTAATCAGTGCAACATCATTGTTAAAGATTTGTGTATCATAATTTGGATCGAAAATAGGGCATTCTAAATTTGCAAGTTAATTTCCGTCATGATGTCTTCAAATCTTTGTGCAAGTTATTTTGATGCATAATTCCTTTTCAAAAAATTAAAACGGACGATTTGTGATATTTCGGTTTGCGTGAAATATTTATCTGCTCATGGGTGTATACTGGGTGTCCGCCACCCAGTACAGATTCTACATACATGACCATCATGGCGGGTCGCCTAGGTTTTGGAGAGGTGTGGCGGTGGGCTGACCATGGTGGTCCAAAATTGACCGAGGGTGTCCGCCACCCTTGTTTTTTTCATGTGCATTGCCCCAGTAGGTGTCCCGAGCCCGGTGGGGCACGCGGACAGCTTAACATAAAACCTTTGAATTTATTGAACATAACTAAGAATTAGTACGACGAATGTGGGCTGTTTGATTAAGCGTCACTGTCACTGTTTTATGGTTCCCAGTCGATCAACGTACTGACTAATATTGTCAGTGCAAACCGTATTCCGGGTGTCGGACACCCCGATTACTGTGGATAGCAATGTGAACATGTGGCCATGTCAGTGAACATGTCAGCAATATCAAGTACAGCTCTCGGAAGGAGACGACAATAGCGTCCGTCTGTTTGTCAATAGTAGAAAACGAAGAAAGGAGTCGGCACAGATTTATCAGGCACTGGTTGAGCTCATCGCTCGTACGGTTTCTGGAAAAAATAACAGTACACAGTACCCACTACACAGTCTTAAAAAACCAAAACAATCTGCAGTTCGGTCCAAAGCACAAACGGCAATTCACCAAAGCAGCTCGCCCTACGCACCTGTATTTCGTGATTATCTGGTGCACTCCTGAGAGAGCCATTTTCCGAAAAATAAAATCGTTTGCATAAATACAATAACCTTTATAACAGTCAACAGAATGGGAGAACAAAAGCAACACCTGAGCACCTCTGCAATTTTCCAACTCCAAAACGCTAAAAAATATTCCAAATAAATAGATGAACACTGAACAGGAAAGTCTACAGTTCTGCTTCTGGATCACTTTACGCGACCGCCCTGGCCTGACTGTTACCAATGGCACTGGCACTGTACTGTAAGCGCTACAAGCGCGTCTCAACATGCAACTCAAAAAACCTGCTTTTTTGAACGCGCAGACGCACAGTGCCTGATTTTTTCATAATTTTTTGGATTTTTCTTTCGTCTCTGTTTTCTTTCGTAATATTCCCTTTTCTACTCTTCTTTCTCCTTTGTTTTGTGTTCTTAACTTTAAAATTTATTTCTCTACCTTTTCCTGTTATCAGGTTGTTTCCTCTGTGAACGTATCTACGGTGTTGCGCAAGGCGCGCGGTTTACCCGTGTGTGGCTGTTTCGCAAGCTCTTCCCGGTCCAGTCATATCCTCCATACTCCCACATTCCCATTTATCTTTTCTATCCTATACTCTACGATCCTCTCTCATCATGCCTAGCACCAATTTTTTGCGGTTGCACCGTATTGTTGTCTCCGTGCTCCCTTTTTCATCGAGCGACGAGCAGCCTACTGATTGCTGCCTTTCATGATGAAACGTGATTGGTGAACCTGGCCTCCATGAACCGCATCCTGGAACGTGTCTGCGGATACTGGCCGCCGGGCCCTTACAACCCCAGTGGTGTTCTGCTCATTAGGGTGCAGTGGGCAGGTGTGCCCCGCCTGAAATGGGTCCCGATGTGTGATCTGGCTCAGGCCCAGGATGTTGTCCGTGTATTCCTCCAAAAACGTGATAAAGCACTGTACAGATCGCCGCTGCCGGATGGACGGGACGAATGGCATGTTATGGCGTACCCACTGCACGCCGCCATTCTCCGTAATGAAGCGCGCATTCGCGCTGGGGTTCACGGGACTAGCGCCGGTAAACCGGAGCATCAGGTTGCAGCAGGTAAGCACCGTAAGCAGGTCAATAATTTTTTCCTCTTTCCTTTATGGTTGCTTAATATTGCAGAAATATACAGTTAATCGTGTACTTCCCGTCTCCGTATGGTAATAATTGATTGGAAAGATTGATCTTTAATTGGAAAAATTTCAGTTTCTTGTAATTTAATTTTTATCCAACTTTGCTCAGATTCTTTAATTGTCATGAACGTTATACTTTTCGGAATTTTCTTACAAGTTCGTAGCAGTGTACAGTCCTGCGCCAGCCAAGTTGGGGCAGTTAAAATAATTCCTTAACTTCTGCCGGAATGAAACCTAATGTCGGGATTTTTTTCTGCTAATTTTTGCATGAAAATTTGCAAAATTAGTCTGTAATTACAGCAGTAAACACTAAACACCTCTGAGTTGTTTTTGCGTTTTAATGCATTTTATCATCCCGCAATTTCTTCCATATTTTGTACGTTTGTTGTAGCCGGCAAAGCGTCCGTCGCAGCGGCGACACCGCCGTCCCTGATGATGGGTCCGAGCAGCAGTCTGCAGCGTCCCACGACGCCGGCCCGCCGGACACCGCGCGCCCCGAATGCCGCGCCGGCGAGCCCCGCACACGCTGCCACATCCACCGCGGCATCGCGGAAACGCCAGCCGGACACGACGGATGACGAGGATGCACCGCCGTCCCTGATGATGGGCCCGACGTCGCCCGGCGCGTCCTCCCTGTCCAGCGGCATCCCCGGCGACACGGCATTCAGCTGCACCGTCCTGCACTCCAAAAACGCCGGGATCACTAGAAAACGTCCCACTCCACTCCCAGGTAATTATAAAAATTATTTATGGCTGTTTTTACGGCATCTTAAATATTTTTAAGAAATGACGACAACATATCTGTGCATCAAACTTTAATAATTTAAAAATTAAAATAATTTTTATTATTTTAAAAATGATGACAGCAGGGGGTAATTGGGCGTATGTTTAGGTTTGTTTTTAAGACATTCTACATTGGCAAAAATGATGACAAAATTGTGTGCATATTTAAGTTAATTTTGACGACCTTTTATATTTGCAAAAATGATGCCAAATTGCGTGTGTATTTAATGTATGTTTTTTCATTTTAAATTTTTAAAAGTGTTGACAATATGGGATTGTTGATGTTGTTGTTTAGAGGAAGTTTCGCCGTCAGCGAAGGAGAAATGGGCAATAAAACGGCCAAAGATTTCCCGCTCCCGCGATCTCTCTTCGAGTGTTGCTCATCGCCGACGGCGCACTTTTATCAGTTTCATAGATGACAATGAAGATCCGGATGATTGCGATTTCAGGATCAAACGCAGTAAATGCAGAACAAAAGTAGTATGGTTATCATGTAGTTGATTGTTTTACAGTTTTACAAGATTTTGCTTAAGTTGTTATAGAAATAAAGTCTACGTAATCGTTTATCAAAATCGTGAGAAACCGCTGTCAAATTCTGCCTAATACAATTTGTACATTGATTTTACTTGCGCGTTGTCATTATCGTTATCAAAAAAAGCCATTTTTATTTACTAAAATAGTAAATATCAATTAAATCGCGAGATATACAAATAATTAACGATGGAGCAGTCAATTAAATTACTTCCAGATATAGAATACTTTTATTAATATTCATAAATAATGATAATAATAATAATTTTTTATTTTTAAATAATTATAATTTTGATAAAAAATTTTTATTTTTTAGTCATGCAAATTATGTTATTGCACATTCATCAATCTCAATTTTTTTTTATATTAGTTATTACTGGATAATCCTTATAATTGCACAGGTCGCTCACGTCGCGTATCTCCCACGGATGCAGATCGCAGTGAGCCGGCATCCTCGCGTCCCTTGCGTCCGCGTAATCCCCGCGTGTCCTATAAAATCCCGCAGTGGAATGACCCGCAGTTCGACGACGAACGAACCGTGGCCGAGCAGTCACGCAGCGCCAGGAAGCGCCGCCCCCGGACCAGTCTAGCGGGACAATCGGCACCGGAATCCCCGGTCCGTCGCAGCAGCATGGAGACGTCCGTCCGTTGCGCCGCGGATCTGTCGTCCCATCCGACACTTTCATATACACCGGCGTCCCCAGCGACATCCAGCGCTTCCATAGAAATTATTGGTAGCTGGAACCGTTTAGCAATCACATATAATTCTGTTTATATATTTCGGTTATTTGCCCAAGTTAATGTTTGTTTGACCCGTGGCAATAACAAAAATTATTTGGCCATTTTTGACCGTTTTCAGATGGGAATTACACAAAATATTTTTTTTCCTGTCTGTTACCGAAGTAATTTGAACGTAAATGTTATGATAATATTTTTTTGTAGAAGAAAGTTTTGAAGAACCGGTGGAATCCGCCATGTCGCCGGAAACCAGTCAACACGAAATTTTCCCGAAATCGTTGTCTCAGTTAGGAGAAGGTGCAGATTTCAATCAATTAAATATTCATTTTATTATTACTGCACTAATATATTACATGTATTTATTTTGTTATATTGTTATTTGTACCATCTCTTTATTATTCTCCGATTCTGTTTATTTATTACTGCTGGACTATTTATTATTAATTTGTAATTATTTAGTATTTATTTTATTATTCCTATTTACTTTATTAAATAATCATCGGGGCAGCGTAATTCTTCTTTGGTGAATGCAGAGCTGCATCTGAGCGACGATCCGGACAGCGACGCGGATGGAATTTCCATCCCGGACGTCCCTCCCTCCCCGGACACTCCCGTGAATGCCCACCCGGAAGTGTCCGTCCTTTCCGGGAATGATGCGGATGCCAGCGATCTGCCGGTACCCAATCCCGTCCGCCGATCATCTCCGGACCTTCCCGTCGCGCGCCACCACCCCCGGCGCCCGGAAAATGTTGATCGGTGTGAGCGAGACAGTCCGACTGTCGCGTATCGTATCACCGGCAGTTCACGACCCGATGGCCACCACCGCCATTCGCCGGCCGCCTGGACGTACGACGTGGAGCGTGGCGATCGCGTGGATCCGTGGAGTTTCGGCAAATGCCGGCAGCGTGCGCGGCACGCGTTGTGCGTGTATCTGCAGGAGGCAAAAAAGGAGTACACGGGGACGATGGAGACGCCGGCGCGGGATGAGACGGAGGAAGCGCGGCTGGACCGCTTGACGGACGAGCTGGAACAACTGGGACGGTTGGGCGTGAAGCGCGTCCGGAAACTAGTGAGAAATGTGCACAGAAAAATCCTCTCGGAAAAGTATACGTACATGCTAAAAAATATTAGTAAATTTAAATGGATAAATTTTTAAAAAAACAATTTACACGCGCATCATACATTAAAGTTCGCAGATAATACTTATAGACTTATGCATGCAAATAAATGCGCGCAGTTGTTTTAATTTTTACCTGAGAACTGTCTCTTTATCAATACCGAAAACAAAAACATCATGCTAGCTTCGCAGTTTTTTATTGTGAATTTTTTAAGCTCGAATCCAGTCGTTGTATATTTATTCGACTTATTCGTAATGCTGCTTGCTGGTCGTTTCATTATTCTTATTTGGTTTATTTACTGTAGTGCTTTATTTTTTATTTTTAAAAAAATAATTTTGATTGTTTCTTTAAAGGAAACATAATTCTGTGAGGTTTTACTTAATTTCAGCACTGCTAAACATTATTCATCATTATCCTCCTTGCTGTTAATTAATTCTCTATTTATTCATTATTTTTGATGTGTTTTATTTAATATGGTAATTTTTAAAAAATTATTTTAGAAAATAATTTTAGATTGTTTCTCTAAAGCAAACGTAGTTATGTACGGTTGTACAGTATTCATTTTGATTTCAGCCTGACTGCTGAAGAAGCATGTCAGTATGCACACTGCGCAACATATCGTGCCTGGGAGGAGCGCTGCTTGCAGAAAAAAGCGCGCCGGGAAAAGAACCGGACAACCGAGAAGACGCACCAGTGGATCTACGGAGACGAGTGATCATGGCTTTGGAATGAGTTTTACTTTCGTTAGCTTTTCTGGAAAAAGACAGGATATAAAATTTTTCCCGTGTTGCTTAGGCGATTTTCTGCAGGTCTCTTATTTCCGAATGGTGTTTTTATAATCGGAAAATAATTGTCTTAATAATTTTAATTTTTAAGGATTTAATCTTAATTAATTTAACACGTATCGATTTGTATATGGGATGTTTTTGCATGGAATGGTCGGCAGAATGTGAATGAGCTTGTTGGTTGTTGTTAAAATTTGTGGTTGTTATTGGTGCTTGACAATGGTTTTGCCAAAGAATTATCGGTGCGATTTTTAATATTAAAATATTAATAAATTGAATGCCGTTAATTGGCGTGCCGGTGACTGTGAAAATAAAAATCCATGGCAGTTTAATCTCGACACCGAATTTGATTGCGTTTATTTCTAACGAAACTGTTACTGAGATTTTTTATTACTGATTAAAATCGATTCAAATTTGGCTTAATTTATTTTTATAATTTAACTTTATTTTTGTTAATTTAGTATGCACTTAATTTTTTTAAAAATATATTTATTTTATGCTAATATATTTATTTTTCGCCAATGATTTTGAAAAAGTCTCAGTGCCATTTTAAGGTTTATTTCAAAATAAATTTCGCTTATTTTTATACCAGTAATTGCGGAGGAATTCTTAGCGTCATTTTCAATATTAAAATCGAATTAAATTTTGCTAGCTTGAATACATATGTTTGCCGTTTGCGTATTCATGTATACAAATCATAGTACGTACAATTTATATGCTGTATATGAAAAAATGCAAAAATATCCAGTTCCATTACCGTACATCAATCAGTATACAGAGGCCAGAGCCGACATTAGTAATGCACAATAAACCGAGAAAACTACGATTATTTAAATCATAACGAGCACCGTCCGCGGATCGTAATTCTCTTCCGGTTCTTTCTCTTCCTTATCCGTGGTCAGCAGAATGAGCTTACTGGACGGCGACGTCGACATGACCAGCGACGTGGCCGTCTTCATATTATTCGAGCATACCGACACCGCGGTGTTCCGGCGCGACGCCGCCGCCGTGGTCGCCCCACCGGGCAACACCGAGGGCCGCGGTGATTCGCTCAACCGCATCCGGTCGCCCCGCCCCCCGCACCACACCTCCGTGATCGATTTCAGCGGGATATTGAAGCTGGCGTAGATGATCGGGTTGACACAACTGGAAAACCACGCCATGCACTTGGCTACCGCCCCCAAGGCGGGCGGGATGCGGTGCGTATACTGCCGGTACGTCCAGGCGTTGAATAAGGTCAGCGTGAAGTAGGGCAGCCAGCAGAAGATGTAACAGGTCAGGATGCACACGGTCAGCTTGATGGTCTTGACTTTGGCGCGTTCCACCGAGTCGGTGGCGGCGGCGGAACGGCGCAGGGCGAGGGTGTCGGTAGTGGAGGGGGTGGTGGAGGTCTTGGCGGAGGTCTTCCAGACGACCAGGGCGATTTTGATGTAGCAGACGGCCACGACGACGATGGGGATGAGGAAGATGTAGGTGGCCAGAAAGGTCAGGTACACGATGCGCTGCCATTCCGCCGTGTAACCTTTACTCTTGCAGGCGTACTTGACGGTACCGTCCGGCTTGGTGCCGTCGGGGACCTGCAATTACCAAAAAATATAATTTATTTGAAGAGAAACATCAGTTTTATATAAGACCTTTACATGCACATATTTTTTACACGTATGCATTGTACATGTTGTACAATACATATCTATATACAGATTACACATACAGATTACACACACATATATACGAGTACATACATATACGTATACATATACAGATTATTAAAAAGAAAAACATAAAACTAATATTTGAAGTACAAACTCAAGTAACGAGTTCAAAGGCATTTCTTGTTAGAGACAAATAACACTAAAGCAATTGCTGCCGGCGTTGTTTACATCGTCCGGCTAATCGCGTGTTCATCTTCGATCACGTGCCCTTCCTGTGAAGAACACGATGCAAACGTGCGCCCACTTGCGGCTTCCTTGTACACAACAACGCATAATCCCCGAAGTAGCGGAAACAGCGGGCAGCTCTACCGAAACGCGGAAGCGCAGCACGCAGACTTACTGCAGTTTTTCTTGGTCTGGCTTTCATCGTATTTTTCCACACCATAAAGCACCGCGTATACAGTACTTCGAAGTACCGATCGTTAAATCACGTGAGCATTTTTCTCGTCAAATACTTAAATCGGTTTCTTTTATTTTAAATTTCCTGATAAATGTATCGCTTATCAAAGAAACAAAATAAATAATTTTATGCCTTTATAAAATAGTTTTTCAGCATTAATAAGTATTTGTATAAATAAATAGCTGCAGAAGTGAAATTAGTAATTTTATTTTCATTAATAAATATATAATTTCGTTATTGGTAGGCATCATCGCACAAAAACTCGATAATCGGTTCCGCGACAGCATATGTGGGTTAGAAAGGTCACACCGGTAATTTTCTTCCCGCGGACCCAACCCACCTAACCGGAAATACCAGCACTCCGCCGGAATAAATCGCATAAATTCGTCGCACATATTCGCTCCCTCACGTGACCGGTAATTACGTATATATAGCTAGCGTTAATGACCTTTCCCGTAAATTAACCACACATGAATGAGCCGCCGTACTCGCTGATACCAGTAATTACGTAAACCTCACGTTAATGACCTTTCCCACTCTAATCCCATGTCACCGCACATTTCCGGTCGCTTACCTGGAGAAAAATGAGGATCTGCGGGATGGCGAAGATGGCGGCCAGGATGTAGGACGCGGCGATCATGCGCTGGCTACGGGCGCGTGTCCGGCTGAGGAACATGGGCCGGCAGATGGCCTCGTAGCGGTCGTAGCTCATGCTGATCAAGATGAACGCCGTACTGCCGAATAGCATCCCCTGGATGTAGGTGAAGGCCTTGCAGCCGACGTTGCCGAACAGCCATTCCCCGCCGAAGGCTTCGAAGAGGATCTCGGCGGACATGGAAAACAGGGCGATGAGGATGTCGGCTGAAAAGGAGAGACAATCACCTGTACGGGATATTATGTAATTCGGAAGGTTGCTGTGTTCGCATACGGAAATTGTTGATTTCTTCTTGCTGCAGAATATTATGTAGTTAGTTTCGCTAAGTCATGTACTGTATTCTTACTTTGTACGGTACAGCATAATGATGTCGTAGAAGCAATCATAATTTTCTAGATACACAGTTTAATTGTTTTGTTTAATAAACCATTACTGCCTATTACTTTCCCACATTTTTTTTTAAAAAGCGCTTCTCTTTTATTGAATACTATATATTATGTTCCTAGCAAGACGGCAGTATTAGCCATTAAAAATCAAATTTTTTGGTGGTTGACAAACAAGCTTTTTTTTCCTGTACATGTTAAATACATCAACTAACACAGCACATTAACATAAAGTTACAAGCGCATCATGTGCTTGTGTTGATGTGTTTATTATCGTAAATACTAAATACCATACTTCTATATTACTTATCGAGCAGGTTTGCAGGTGAATAATTTATTTATAGTGTACATGTATAGTACAGGTACGACTTTGCAATTTTAATGTCGCGTGTCTGTATGTACTTGTACTGCGTTGCAATATGCACTGTACACGCTCGCCACTGGTCAGTGCGCTGCATGTACAGCGCATATTTGGGTCGCTGCAGAAACAGGTGACAACGTACACCGATCACATAGTACACCCCAATCGCGCACTCTTCTTTCCAATGACTCGAAATGAGCGTTAAGTAGCGCAAATTAATAATCTTCAGGGAGAACCTATTGTTAGCCTCACACTTCCTGTCACGCTCGCCCCTAATGTCTACCTACAGTTTTCAGCGGTGCTAATAAAAATCCCCTGTGGCTCCTGTGCGTGAATGCCGTACGAAAAAAGCACTTGTTTCACTCGCATAACAAGATCATACGGAAAAATTTCTCTTTTTGGAAGAGAAAGGCGGGAAAAATTATGCGAAAAAGTTGGATAGTAGGGAAAACGCCGGCGGGAGGCTTTTGTGTTACGCCTGTATACAGTGTGATCCGCTGGCATTTAAACACAACCGGAAATACGCGGGGAATTAAGCCTGGCGCTTCCTATAACAGCAGCGCGCGCATTGTTGACGGGACCGGCTGTTATGCAACGCACGTACCATACGCACGACATTGTTGCTGCATCGGAAATCATGCGTTTCCGCTGCCGAATCTCGACTTTTCTGGTTATATGAAAACTCACTGTTTTTGTTCGTTATTGTTGAACAGCTCCAATACAAGCATATCACAATTTTTGGCTAGGAAGGGTGTTTCCATTTATAGAAGCACAGTAAATTTTCGTTCATACTTGTGTTGAAAATAAAATTACAAGTACAAAGTATATTGTGAAACGCCCAACTGGAACAGGGTAAGATTAAGAAGCTGTGGTTTTTTTTTAAAAAATGGTATGTAGAGTAACTATACGTGCTTGTGGATGAAAAACTAAAGACTTTTCCCTTAAAATTAAAAAAAATTATATTTAGCGATTATTTCAATCTTTACCTTGCTTATTAGGAACCTGTTGACGACAGTTCAAACGGCTATAAAGCCACTCTTCTACGTCACCACGTCTTCTTCATTACCACACTACTCCTTCAGCGTTTCTCACGAAACCCCTGTACTTTTAATAAATTTTGACTGTTCTATTCTATTCAATTATAAAAGTACCGAATAAAATGCCAATCGTGATTTCACAGCTAAAAATTGTTTAGACTCAAAGCATTACGAGAATTATGTAATTGATCGGCGGTCGACAACAGAAAGGTGTCCTGCGGTTAAATCGTAATGGCCGTTGCGTTTACGCAAAGCTGAAGATTACCAGTATTAAAGTCCAGTATACTCGACACGAGTCATGTTAAAATAAATAAATATAAAAATTATTTTATTTAAAAATATTGCAGCTTTACTGCAGACTGGCAAAGAAACAGCTTTATTATCGAAGTAATGGACGCTCTGCCCGAAATATCCACTGCACTACGTTGACTGGCCAAATCCTTATTAGGAGTAAGCCAAACTGTGCGGATATTCCGATTTCCATAATTTTAACACATTTAATATATATGTAAAATACGTTCGATATCGTTTAAAATGTGTAATACGTATAATATACACTTACTGCAGGCTAGCGCCATGACGAAGATGGAGACGGGCCGTTGCACCCCGGTGGTCTTGCACAGATACACCAGCACCGTCCCGTTGCCCAGCAGCGCGATGACCATGAAAAACGATAGCAGAGCCACCATCTGCGCGCCCTCCGTCGACAGCGGACTGCTGGCCGGTAGCGGCACCGGCACGCCGGACAGCGGATGGCTCCCATTAAACGTCCCCATCATCATCCACAACCCGACACTCCTAGATCAAGATACCGCGTTTAATTAAATTAAACCATACGACAACATTCCGCAACGCGCAGAAGAAACGGGGAGAAACGATATCAGCAGGAAATATAATTCACTTGATTAACTCAGAGAGATGGAGCAGCGTTATGGAAATGTGGCATTGGCATTTAGGAATGTCGACTGGCTGCTGTCGGGTTGCGATCAGAGATTCATCTGGTCAGATCGCGCGCGCGCGGTGTGTGAGATCAGCCGTGTACTTGCGTGCTGTGCGTAGAGCGGTGTATGCGCGAGCGCGGGAAAATCAATCCCTTGGGCTCGTTGAGAGGCGTTGCTGTACAGTTCCGGTTGAGTAGCGACCCTGTACGCTTACAGCACGCGCAGCTGCGTCCTGCGATCTCTTCTTAGCGTGATGTATTATGCGTTCGACGCAGGCTACCGGCTTTTATTCAGCCTTTACCGAAACGTACCGTTAAATTCGATATTTACAACGTAGTACTAAAAAAAGCGTAAAGCGGTCAATCAAAGCGTAAAAAAGTATAAATACCAATAAAAAATTTACTGGAGATATCAACAAACAGTATGCATAATACGCTAACGCTAGGTTCGAACAGGGAAGCGCTTATTTGCGCAGTATGCGAAACGAGGCATATAATTTTTTAATACTACTTTGTAACTCTTGTCTCGATGACGCCATACCGTTTTCCAGCGCGTTTGATTCGGTTTAAATAAATTTACGCACTAATGCCCGCTGTTCTTAAAGCGACCCACTCGAGACGGCAGTTTGTATGGATGCCCAACCATAACAAGCCACTTGTCCACGCTGTAAACAAGCGTGTATTCCAACCTTTCTTGGAAAAACCCGTGTTATGCTAAGCAGCGTTACGTAAGGGCTGGATATGATCCCAACGGGAGCCGTTTGACGCTTTTCTTCCCGTAACCGTCGGGATGTGGAAGTAATCGGGTTACCCACGGTTATGATCGCCATAATTGCGGATCCGTATGCAGTGCGTATTGCCCGTGTCAGTCAGCTGGAAGATTGGTGCCCCTGTCAAGGCCATTCGACGGCGAGTTCGAAGATTGTTTGAGTGGCAGTATCGCGCTGCATGCCAACGCGCCATCCAACTGATCGCCGCTCCCCGGGGACACGGCAACACGGGCGCGCGAAGATTATCACGCGGGTGCCTCGCGTATTGCAATATACTGCTGTATCCGTTATATATTTGCGGCTGTAATTGAAAGAGTGCCGATCAAGGACGGCACAATTTAAGCTGATTAAAAGATTTTCCACCACGCTCTGTTGTCCGCTTGGAAAGACGGTTTAGTGACCTTTATTATTTACGAGGCAAGAAGTCGTCTAATTTTAAAAAATAACCAAAAATTCAGCTGGTAATTTTAGCACATAAAAGTGGTGAATAGATGTAAAGGTCACCACTTTAGGTGTCCGTTTAGAAAGGCACTATGGTGACCCTTGTTATTTGCGCGCCCTGTAGCCGTTTATTTTAAAAATCACCGAAAATTCAGCCAATAATTATAGCACACTGAAAACACGGAAATAAAAAAGACAAATGTAAACGTGAAAAAAAAGCCTGGTGACCTTTAAGATATATGTGCTAAAAAACACTGAATGTTAAAAACATTACTAGAAATTTGAAGGATAATTTTAACAACTTAAAAGCAGTGTATGTGTAAAGGTCATCATGTAATGATGTCCGCCTGGGAAGAAAGCTTGGTAACCTTTAGTATTCAGGTGTATAAAAGCAGCTTAATTTTAAAAGGCAATAGAAATTTAATGGTAGCGACCTGTATAAAGGTCAACTGGTTAATAATCCGTCAATATTTGAATACGGTCATCGTTCGACTGTCCGCATTCGTGTGTGTGCGTGGCAGACGTGTTCCTGATTTCATATGACAGTGCGTAACGGTAGGCGAATGTCGGAACAAATTGTCCGCTCATTACCAGCACAATAAGTGGTAGTGTAACTACGGGCTGGAAGATTAACGACATGTAATCACGCAGAGAAACGGCACCGATCAGTGCCGAGAAAGCAGATCAATAACACTGCACTTGAACTTCACAAATTCAACCAACACACACACCGATGTTACATAGTATACACTTCACTGCGCAATTTGTTTGATGGGAAAGCGCGGAAGGGGGGAACGCTGACTGGCAGCGGATCCCCCTGAATAAGCCGGTCATATATCACAAGTGGCGGGGAAATTACCAAGTCAATGCATGTCGCCGAGGAGCAAGCGGGAGATGAGGGAGAAGAGAGGAAGACAGGCAACGGCAGTACTGTTTTTTTGCTGTGTGACATTTTCTTGGCTTATTTATGTATGCGGGCGGGTGTGCAGTGTGATTGGCCGTGTTTGTGCCGGTTGTCTGACACTGGTTAAATGGCCGCAATTGGGCCCAATTATCGGCGACCTTCAACACGTAAACAGCCGGGCGATTACATGTTTAACGGGCCTTCCGAGGCAGCACAACGTGTTGGGGAAATTGAATTACTGACGAGCGCATAAAACATTTATTTTAATAAAAGCTGTATTAATGGACAGAATCCACTATCACTTATAAATTCATAATTTTACTTCGGTTCATCACCACAAAGTTCATGAAACGGCGAAAGGCTACTGGGGAAAACCACATCCACATAATTAAAAACGTTTTCACCATAGAGACTTTAACCGTGAAAACTTGGAATGGAATCAAAACACATCGTTATAATTAAACGCTTTTGGGAATTCAAAGAAAATCTGTTTATAAATAAATTGCACTATAAGGCGAAGTATGTGCCAAAAAAATATCTGTACATAATTACAAAGTTTGCGAATAAATAAAATAAATCATTCACAAAAAGGTACCTCGAAATAATTGTAAAAATATTTTAATCATAGATATTATATTAACTGATGAAATTAATAAAATGTAAATTGAACTAAGGCAAAAATACATTGTTATAATAAACACCTTCAAGAGCGCAGGAAAAAATTATAATTATTTTAATAATATAAAATCGCCCGCGAGATAGTAACTGTTACGTAGCAGAACAAAGCGCTTATTGAAACTGGAGATTCATATTGCACGCGTTAACCGCGTAACTCCATACGAAAAATCTCGTCGTTGTTTTGTCGCGCGACACGTGTTATGCATGTGTATCAAGTATCGTGCCGGTTACTTATTTCCCCCACAAACACCATCCCAACCTTGAATCAAGGGATTTCTTGTCAACTTACGTAATAAAGCTGTCCACCGGCGTCGTCTATCCGGCTTATCAGGTTACGCGCATGACTGCTCTGAGAAGCGTATATAACAAAAATCACCCAATCAATAATATTTTATAACAACGTGGTCCACGGGTTAATATTCTTCAAGCGGCAGTTACTTTTCCAATAATTTTATGAACCGGGGAAATTATGTATCCAACCGGCGAACAAATACTTCATCCAGCAATCAATTTCAAGTGTTCATCGAATGCAGCATCGTTTATAATATGGGAATATGATGCTCCAGCGGCGTTTTAAGTGGAAAAAGATTCGTTTTTGATTGCCGGCGTGTATTTACGTATAAAGAGTGGGACACAAACGATAATGAACACCATTTCCGTGGCGTGTAAATGGCCGCTGTACGCGCACAGCAGGGCGTCCGCTAGCCCCGGCTTTCTGACATCGGCGCAGTGAAGAAAAATAAACCAGGAAGACCCGATTCCCTCTGACTATCACAACAGGAAACGCCGACCCATTATAAGAAACAGCAGCAAACCGGCATAAAAAACTCCCCGCCACAACAAACATGGAAATGTACTCTTGTGTTTGCGACACAGAAAAAAATCGGGGCGGCACCGCCTGGGAAAATAAACACTACAGAAAAAATTGGAGAAAATTGTAGCAGGATGCACAACCCGGCGAGAGGGCGGGGCGGGGCTCCGTGGGAACAACGATGCCGGTTTTATGGGAAAATCAACGCACAATGCGTACTGGTGAAGACCGATTCGAATCTGGGCGGAACGGTGACAAAAGACAGCCGATAAACAAACGCCTATATAGCGTGTGTATTCCAGGCACTTTTTCCAGCAGAAGATCGTGTCGTCGCCTGATCGATTCCGCTTATATACATTACATTTATTAATGGGCGCGCTTTCTTGATCTTCTCCGGGCATCGCGCGATGTACGCGTGACGTCACCATTGCCGGAGGGAGGGCGCTGTCATGCATGATCAGGACGGGTTTCTCATGAATTTTAAGCGAAGGTTGCCAAGATCTGTTTGTATGTATGTGTCCAGTGCTTACGCGGGTGTGTTTATTATGCCGCTTCCGGTGGCAAACAGCTGCGCAGGAGGACATACAAGTGGGGGTGGCATGCATGGCTCTATGGCGCATTAATCACAGCATGCAGGCAGGATGAGCGCGTATGTGTTTCTTAATTGATTACGCAATAAGCCAGTGTGTCTTTAATTTGGGAAATTAATGATGTTTATACATAGATCCGAGCTGTGTTGGCGATGTCGATCGTATTTAATTGATGGCCTGGTCATTACTCGTCAACATCCGGTCTAAATGCGGCCTTGGTTGCTGATTAATTAGCGTCGGGGAATTTTTTTACAACATGTCCTGTCTTGCAGTAACAGCGCACTAATAAATTTCCGTGGGTTTTTTGGGAAGTTCGTTATAACGCATGAAACGCTGTATTTTTTATTCTTCCTTTAAAAGCTTTTTAAGTAATGTCTCTTAAAAACATTCCCCCGAGGTTTATTGCTGCTTTCCATTAATTCCCCATTGCTATTGAAATTATCGTTTTATTTCCCATAGTTATGAATTTTTTATTAACATTTTTATTTACAAAAAACCAGTTATTTTCTTTATTTTTATGATCATACGAATTGAATTTTACAATTATTTCGTTTCGCTACAGACACTTTTTAAAACCATTAAATTATTTTTATCAAATTTTTTTATCAAATCTACTGGAATTTTGGTCGGTTCGATAAACTACTATATTGTACAGTACATAAAGAATAATTATAAAAAAATATAGATCGTTTTGTGATTGTATTAGCAATTTTTGACGCACGTTTCCTAAACGGCCATACATCGCCACATGTATAACAATTTTTCCTTGCCGCTCTTCGACACGTTTTGCATTTCTATGCCTACATTTTTTTTTCTCCGAAAGGAAAACTCCTTTTACTATACAAGACAGCGCGCGATACCAGTAAATTCAATAATAACATAATCAAAATGCAAATCGGATTTGTTCCGTGTTCATATACAGAATCCATCGAAAGTTGCCCAGCCGATGAACCGTCTTGATTGAGTATTTCCGGTATGGGCCATCCTATCCGCGCACTATCTGTACATCGCAGTATAAACTATAAACGCCGGTTTCTGCATGTACCGCATTTTAGCCGCACGCGTTCCGTTCGTTCCAGCGCCGAATTAAAACTTTTTGGCCAGCATTTAGGCGAACTTAATTTAAAAAATTTTCCTGTAGAGAATATAAGCGTTTAATGAGAATGTGATGACAAGTGTTCTAAGGCAGCCGACCGGCGAGGCATCCGTGCGTTGACCAGGGAATTCAATTTGTCGGTTGTGTTAAGCGGCCCCAACTGCTAATTGCCATCGCCGTTTATATTCACACATTTCACACATGTATACACTGCACAAAGTATACGGCGATACGGCAAATCTCTTTTTAATGGTTGTGCCCCAGAAAAAGTCCCCGGTTGTACCGAGAGTCACACTGACCAACATTCCACTAAAACGCCGATGCAACGGACAAAATAAAATTCCGAAGGAACAGCGCTTTAAATAAATGGGAAGTTCATTTCCTTCGATTATTTCTTGGATTGCATGTTATTTATTTTTATGAACCGTATTTTTAAAATAATAAATAATCTTAAAAGCAATGACAAATTTCACAAAATCTTAAATTAAACATAAAATTCCGCAGTATTTTCGTGGAAACCTTGTAATAAATATAATAAATATAAATATAAAATAATAACGCAGGGAATTCGAAAAATTTGTACGACATGTACTTTACTATTCGATGTTTATATATTTTTAGTAAAAACTTTTCTGGTGATGTATATAGCACGCTATTTTATTCAATCACTATTCTGAAGTTTTATCTTTTTTTGTAAGATATATTTGTAAGATAAAATAATAATTTTTTTAAAAACCGATTTTTATTGCTGAATAATTTTTAAATTTTTGTATTTTTTAATGATTTCAGTTTTTATTACAAAATCGATATTTTTGCACTTGGAATTTCAATAATAGAAATTTTGACTGTGAAGTTAGAGAAAGGTTTCGCTGACAGAAATCGACACCATCCGGAAAACAGTGTGTATATAAGGAAAACAAGCGTAAACGATGGAGTTTTCCTGGGAAACAGAGATTGAGTTAACAGCGAGTTGACCCAATTTGGCCGGTGTCAGAATCGTCGATCAGCAGTATTTAATTCTCAGCTGCGCTGAGTATCATGGGAAACTATGTAAACTGTGGACAAGGGAATGCACGCGGGGTATAAGAATGATATCATTCCGCAGTATTGCGCCACACATGGGCAAATTGCCGGTCTGCCTGACACCCGGGGTCAGGCAGCGGCGCCGATAATTGACAGGTCTCTCATCGGCCGGCCCAAGTGTCCATTCACCATCGTATCATCGTTTCCGGCAACCGCGCAGCTGACGATACACCGCTCCTGTCGGCGCGTGGACGGGATGTATTCAAATTTACAAAATCACCCAAAAAATACTCAAAAAATAACAATTTTACCAATAAATGTAATACAGAGGAAAATACAAAAACATACCAACGCTGCGAAGGAAGAAGGATGGTAATGACTTAACCGAGCGCCGGGCACCACTCTGCATGCGCAAAAATATCGGAAGAACGAAATTTAATTTAAATCAAGCCAGTTCACTCAAGAGCACTGACCTTTCCGTCTTATGATTTGTGTAAATATGCAGGACTCGCAATTATTCGGTTGTTTACGAAATTTAGGTTTTTACAGTTACGACATTTACAAGGACGATCGCGCCAAAATAACAAACGAACATGTTAGATGATTAGTATGGTAAAGGAAATGGTACGGCTGTTCTGAGCAGACTGCCTTTTCGCGTGCAAGAAGACATTTTTTAATTACATTTTAATTATCAAGTAGTGTACCAGCGCCTGCAACCTTTGCTTACTAAGTGGCTGTTACCTTTAAAGATTTGAGTTATTTGCTTGGTGTAGCCGTGATTTTTTTTAGGTAGGCGTGTTCGCACATCTACTAATGTGGCATGGCGATCCTACAGAGCTGATTAAGAAAGTATCGCTTTTACTCGGAAAGCGACGATTTAGCCTTTTGTTGAACCGGTGGTAAATCGCTTTTACTGATACTTGATAAAAGTACGTACGTAAACGTAATGTACAATGTATTAGAAGCCATCTTGCTGCTTCTGTTTAACGGTACGCAGTACATGCAATTTCTACACTTTAACTTTCTTTGGATTTATTGCGGCTGTAATTCACGGACTGGGTTGCCGTTGTTCTTTACCTGTTTAAAGATTCGTGGTACGTGAAAGCCAAATCAGCCGTGGTAGGTCTGCTCCCGGTTGTTTTTCTTCGTTCGCTAATGAATTTTCCATTTCTTTAAATTTTGTTTTCGAATTGCAGGCGCTGGTGTAAAATAGGGACGGAGTTTGGCCATTTTCCTTGTTAAGATCAGCGATCCACTATGTTCAGCCTAACGCACTACGCTAACAGCGTGGATATTCTGGGAGACGACGGGATGATGCGGTACGGACGCGTGGTGGACGTGGCCAACAACGGTCTCTTCGTTGACCTGCTCTATCCCAACCGGCGCCGTGAGTACGTTCCATTCAACAGGCTCTTTTCGCCGTGCGAGACGAGCGAAGCTGATCCGCATCGCACTTTCTCTACCGAATTCGCGACATTTCACGTGGAAATCCTGGTGCCGGAGACGCCACGGGGACCCTTGATTTGGCTGCCTGGCCTGGCAATCAGTTTGGGGCTCGGTGGGTCGGTGGAACATTACGGAGGCACCATCGTTCATTGGCGACGCAAGGACAACGGAGAGCGCTGCTCGGACATCATTCCCATTCAACGCATCCGTTGGCCGCTGACGAACGCACTGCCACTGCACCGTTACATCCGTCCGCAGATCTTCGTCAAGCGTACCCTGCCCCTGGACGATGCATTTCACTCGGTGTCCTCTGTAGAATCTGAGTTGCTCATCAAGCGACTGAATGACTATGAATTGCGTCGCCTTCCCTTTCCATGCTCAGTGGACGTTGTGGAGCTCGTGGACAGCCGTTTGGGTTACATATTCCAGCCACGCTTGGAAGGTTCTGGAATATACGATCCCCGAGGCTTGCGAGTTTTGGTAAGAACGAAGGTGTTTTGGTTTGAAATCGACTGGATGGACGACTACAAGTACTGTGGGGTTTTCAGGCGTCGCTGGCCAGTTTCCAGGCGGAGCTGCTGAGACTGTCGGCGGTGATAGAGGAGATCCCGGCAACAAGAGACACGACGCTGTCAGCGCAATTGTGGCAGCAAGTATTTTCAAACTTGGAAACTGTGACGCAGACGAAGCTGCGCGCGGTGTGCACCGCGTGGAACACGGCAATGGATGAGCCAGTGCTGCGTGGTTGTATTGTGATCGGAGACTGCGACGATTGCAAGTGTAACTTCACCGATTTCCTCCGCATGGCAACCGTGTACAAGCGCCTGCAACCGGGCACCCAGTACGTGATGACGCAGGCCGGTAGCGTCGAATGCTGCCCGATGAGCACCGTCCATGTGCTGATGCTGTGCGACATGATTCACTATGTGGTTCACCACCACATCGACATCCGCCTGCGCAGTCTGCATGTTAGCCGATTCGCTCTAGATTTGCAGATTAACGGCGCCACCGGTATGGCGGGCACTGGTGGATGTGCCTTGCATCAGCCGGATCCGGCAACGGTGGCGGCCATGGGGGGATGCGGTTCGTGTCAACTTGAGGACTTCATTGCCGCCTGCTGTCGTTTGCCGTGTGATGCCGTCCACTTAAGCCACTGCGCTGTTCATCTGCTCTGCTGCTATTTTGCCAACGAGTCAGACCGCTGGGAACGGAAACTCGTCCGGGTAGAGATACACATTCTGACAGCGCACTTGTCTAGAAGTCCGCGCTTCCGCTGCGCACTGTGGGAGGCAATGGACACGGCGCTGCCTGAACCAGATGAGCAGCAGCTGTTGGGCCTCTTATTCTGGCTCCAGCATTTCGCAGATGAAAAAATCGTGAAGGCCGTCTGCACGGTAAGAGTGTCCGTTACGGGTTGTCGTGTTATGTGTGTGTGTGGATTTCTGGCTTGAAAAGCATTAAACTATGATTAATTTTGCAGATGTTGTGCGCACTGCAGTCGGCGGATCCGCGTCCGTCGGCGCATTACGACGGGAAGAAGTGGTGTGTTGATGGTCTGGACGGTTTGCAGCTGGCGAACCTGTCGCGTATTAGCCGGCATTTTCTTGTGAACTTGCAGCCAGATACGTTCTTGTAGTCCATCACGGTGCGGATATTTCGGTGGACAGAATTATTAGAGTATAATTAAACTACTGCATCACTTTTATTTCTTTAATTTAATGGGCTGCATCGGTGATTCTTTTATTTCTATTTGGGTTTGAGTTCTGAAACAGTTGCGCATCCGGTTTATTTTATGCCACCGTGTCTGTAGAAAATTTTTTAGCAGTATAATTATACAAGGAGTTAGTGCGTTGCGATTCGTATGTGGAATGCTGAAGTACTGTAAGTACTGTATAGATATTATTGTAATAAAACATGGGAGTCAAATACATGTAAATTCATTCTTCAAATACTTAGTGGTGAATACATTCAAGTGATGAGTACAAAACACTAAAATAATCATATGTTTAGGAACGCCCAATTTTTTTCCCAGATTTTACTGCTGTCATCAACTGGTTTAATCAGTTTTATATTCACATTGCCCCATAAGGAACAATGTGACAATAAAAGTAATCCCAATGCCTTCAGTTTCATTAGCCGCAAACCCGTAATTGTATACTAGTTAAGACATTTCTCATTGTAAAGTTGATACAAAATTCTTTGTGTTAATAATCGCCTTGGATATTGTCGGTGGGATTGCCTGGAAGTCCTCCGGTTAATACAGAGATTTCTTTCGACACAACGAGCTCTTGACGAGCTATCGCACTTACAAACATCCGCCTTACAACGTATTGCCTTGCAAGTTTCCACCAGCGTCGAAAACACGCAAATTTGTATCCACTATGCGGATCCAGCGAGTACTCCAGCAGTTTCCGCGGAAAATCCGTTCGACTGAATTTGAATTCCAATGACAACAGTCACAAATCAGACAGATTGGTAAAGGTATCCTTTTCCAGTGAGCGATCGTTATCCGTAAGTTTGTATAGAGTTTAAAATTATCGTTTTTAATTTTAAATTCGTCGCAGATCCATGCATAAAATTTTAGGAGATGTTAAGCGTAGATTTCGCAGTCGGTTGAATGGACGGCTGCGTTAGCACGAAACTGATGACTAATTTCCGAATCGGGCGGGAGTTGTCGCGCTGCAATACTGGTCCGTTGTCCATGTACAGAATGAACGGACGTAGCGGATGTTTGGCGGTAAAACGGGTTAGTTGCTTGGTTTCTTTGGTATCAGGTGGTGTAACGAAGCACATAATCTCGTAGGCTTTCGCATCCAGACAATGCTTGTATGCCAGTTAGCCCAAGCCTGTCTGGCGCTGGTATTCTGCATCACGTATGCGTCCTTCGAGAACGCCGGGAAGTCGCCAATGTGGATTTTTTGCACCAGCGGATCAGGATCAAAATCCAACGCGATAACGGGATCTCTGCCATTGGAACCACACCAGCATCAGCAAATTTAGGCGAAATGTTCTATGTGACTGAATCCACTGTGTCGATACACCGATCTTTCACATACATAAAAACTAGGGATTACTTTGTACCGTCAACGGAAAATTAAAAAAAAATCGTGCTTTGCTTCTGCGAGGATGTCGAGCACTAATAATTTAACCATCTCCCGACAGTATACCGGTATTAGTTTCCGACGCAACAAACATCTGTTCTTGTTTTGGTTTAATAACCGAGCGCCAAACACTTAAAATCACGTCTTTCACTTACAACATATTAGCCCTGAAGCATAACAAGGCTGCGTTATGGCATAACTGCAGTCCTTATCAAAGCATTAAGGGATTTGGCCCGGTACATAGCACCAAATTCGCGTACATACACGGGAACTTTCGCTGTCGCGCACTCCCAAACACGTTTTTGCATTGCTTTATGGTGTTTTGTAGCCTAAAGATTTGTATACATAGGCGTGGAATCCGTTTTTGCGCGCAACATCCGGTTCGGGAGTTATGGCTGTTAAAAAATTCCAAAACGTTTAAATGCATTCAGGTGTACCAAAAGTCTAATTATGGACCGATCTCTTTCAAATTTTGCAGGTAAATGCACATGACCATGAAGATCGTTCTTACACCGATCCACTGTTCCAGCATGGTTTTTAAATTTTAAAATGAATTTCAAAAATTTTAAAATTCATTTTAAATTCGAAAAAAATTGTGGGCCAAACCCCTTAAGGAACGTAAAGTGCAAGTTTTCTTAGTCTTATAATATCATTAGTCAAGATAAGGTGGTTTTCCAAAACAATCCTGCAGTTTCATCAGGAAATGTTGCGCTATCAACATCAAATTTTTCACTTCGAAATCCTTCAGGTTATCAACGAACCACTTCTTCCAGCGATAATGCAGTGGCGACCGAGAATCCACTGACTGTGTCGCACAAAAACTTTAGCAAAAACAAAGTTTTGTTAAAAGCATCTGCGGATTTCTTCACATAGCCTGACAGGGTTAGAACTGCTCACCTTGCAAACCGTCCTGATGTGGAGGTCCACTGCATCCCCATTCAACCGGTTCCAAAATTATGTTAGCTTTTGCCACTGTTGAAGCATCGGAACGGTTAAGCCGGCGCCTATCGCTTTCCATACCGCTCAATCCATATCCGCGGTAACCTTGACAGGAAACGTACTACATGTCCAGCGAAATACTGTATCCGTTTTATAATAATGTAAAGGAAAAAGACGCAGAAATTAGCACTTGCTACCGCACAGTCACGATCTGACACCGATTCGACAGCCCCAAAAACCAGCTTCGACGAAGAAAAAATGGTACTGTAATTTCAAAGGGCCCTATAAAAGATAACGGCTACGTGACAAGTCGTCGCGGGACAGTTCGTCGCGGGACATTTCGTCGGGGACACTTCGTTAAAGGACTTTTGGTCGGGGGACAACTGGTGTTAGGATGTTTCGTTATATGGACAATTCGTTTTGGGATACTTCGTTGTCGTGACAGTTGGTTGGAAATCCACTCGTTGCTTAACTGGTACATTTCGTCGCATGGATAGATCGCCGCATGGACTTTTCGTTGCGCCGCATTTTTTTGGGTTTGTTAATGGGAATTATTAAGAAACTGAATCTACCATGCTCTGTCATCAAAACAAGTTAATAAGGAATAAAAACAGTTTAACCAACAATAAAACAAATACCAACATTACCAAGAAAAGAATACAAACCGCAGAAAAATTCCGTTATACTGTAAATCATTTGTACCATAGCGCATCAGAAATTACATTAAGCAAAAGAACACTGCATTGAAACTTCAAAGTTAGTGCGAAGGGGTACTACAGACCGCTTAGACGCTCAGTTCCAAATTCGACGCAACGTGACGCATAAATCCCACCTTGTCTTGGCCGTTGTAGTCGAAAACGACGTTCGCAAGGCGGTCAGTCGCCTTGACATACTTCTTGCGGCGCTTTAGCGGTGGTCCACCAGAAGCCAGCTGAGCCGTGACCACGGTAAAGAATGAGACCAGTAACCCCATATAGGTAGCGTACTTGCATTAGCTGTAGTGCATCTCTTGAGAGCTAATCTGGGTTTATCTGTAAACAGGCAGTAGCGTGAAAGATTCAGTCTTTCAGTTTGTACTCAGCCATTAACAACAATTTCAATGCCTGACGGCAGTTTTAGCGCTTGCCAGTTGCACTGGATGAGTTATTTTAGATGAGGTGAACGGTTGAGATGAGTGGGGCAGTGAGACCTTGAATTAATCAAGACTCTGCAGCATATGCACAGTCCGTCAAGGCTGCTGTCGAAGTCTCTTCAGGTATGCCAGGTATGATTTTTCCATATTCGCAGCATACGCACAGTTCTTCAAGGTAGCTGCTGAGGTCCCTGTAAAATGTAGATATGCCGGTTTTGATTATCCCATATTCGCCAATGGTGCCTTAAAGGTCAACCAAAGTAAGCCTATCCAAAGACATGCAAGGTCTGATTTTCCCATATTCGCTGCATTCGCAGCATTCGCCAAGGGTACTTCGAAGGGCAGCTTAAGTGAGCCTAAAAAGACATGCCGGTTCTGATTTTCCCATATTCGCAGCATTCGCAGCGTTTGCCAAGGGTACTTGAAAGGGCAGCTTAATTAAGTATAACTCAAGGCTTGCCGGGTCTGATGTTCCCATATTCGTAGCATTCGCAGCGTTCGCCAAGGGTATGTTAAGGTCATCTTAAGCAACCGTAGGCAGGCCGAGTCTGCAGCCTACCCGTAGGCAGGTCTGATCTTCGCATTCTCGAAGCATTCGAACATTTTGCCAAGGGTGCGACTAGTCTAAATATGCTGATTTGGTTCGGCGTATTCTCGGCATTTGCAGTAGCACTGTACTGTTTACCATCGGCTTTGTCTATGTACAGTTTTTAAGTACTGTGCATAGACTGTACTGTACTGCCTTTTTTTGGTAATTCAGTTTTGAGTAAATTCAACGCGTTTACCCAAACTGTGACAGTAAACATACCCAATGTCATGTCGGGTTTAATTTTCCCATATTTAACGGCATGCCGGGTTGAAGTAAGTAGATTTCCGCAGCAATCGCAGTGTTCGAATAGGGTTCCTTAAAAGTGTCTCAGTAAGCATACACAACGGCATGCCGGGTTTAATTTTTCCATATTCGCAACTTTCGCACCGTTCGCAGCAATCGCCAAGGGTACTTCAAAGGTCAGTCTAAGTAAGCACACCAAAGGGCTTGCTGGGTTTGGTTTCTTTATTTTCGCAGAATTCGCACGACTCGTAGAATTCGCGAATGGTACTTTAAATTTCTGTCTTAATAAACATAAACAGCGGCATGCCCGGTTTAAAGTTCCCATATTCGCAGAATTTGCAGCGTTCGCAGCAATTGCGAAGGGTACATTTAAGGTCATTTCTAAAGGTGCTCCATCGTAGTTTTGATCTTCGCATATTTCGCACAATTTCTTACATCAGCTGTTGTACATATTTTCTTTCTAAAACGATTAATTACAAAATCGGTTCTCCATTTGATTAAATCGGTTCTACTTTCGATTTCATTCTACACGCTAAGGGTTACTTCTGGGCGTAGCTTGCGTACCGCTCCCAACCGCCGCGGGCGCCATCCTGGTGGAGAATCGTCAACGGTTTTTTTAGGTTTTAGCTACGGTTTAAATAACTATTTATCCAATCTGATTGGTTCCTCGAGTAGGAGGCGACTTTTTCTTCACTTTTAGTGTCTGCTGCGATACATACCGGATCAGCCTCACTGGCTAGTATGTATTTGCTTTGCGTATGTATACAGTACTGTATTTACAGTACTG